GAGCAACTTAAGCGAGTTACGACCCCGACTTTGTTTTGCAGCCCGGCTGTACCAACGTCTGCTACGACCACATCTTCCCCATCTCCCACATCCGCCTGTGGGCGCTGCAGCTCATCTTTGTCACCTGCCCGTCTCTGATGGTGATGGCTCACGTGAAGCTCCGTGAAGGAAAGGACAAGAAATACGTCGAGCTGCACCAGGGCTCGCACCTCTACGCCAACCCTGGCAAGAAGAGAGGAGGCCTATGGTGGACGTATCTGCTGAGTTTGATCTTCAAAGCTGGATTTGACTCAGCTTTTCTCTATATCCTGTTTCGGTTATATGATGGATACGACCTGCCCAGGTAACGCTGGTAACTTACTGTTATTAAAATGAACCAGTGTTGTTCTGAACTCGTTAAAACCTGCTGTACTCTTTTCTGTCAGGTTGTCCAAGTGTCAGCTGTCGCCGTGCCCCAACACCGTTGACTGCTTTATCAGCCGTCCGACGGAAAAAAAGATCTTCATGCTCTTCATGGTCATCTCCAGCGCGGTTTGCATCCTCATGTGTATCCTCGAAATGATTTACCTCATCGGCAAGCGCATCATGAAGATATTAAAGATCCGACGTGAGAACGAGAGGCTCGTCTTCGCTGAGCAGCACGAGCTCACTACCATTACTCCATCCCGCTCTCAGTGCAGAAGCAGGAGAGATCCGACACTGACCGACAGCGAGCTGGAGCTAAGCAAGAGGAAGGATGCTAAAACTACAGTACTCTAGCATTCTGCACGCTGCAATCATGGCTCGCCAACAGGAACAGAAAATACCCAATAAGACTACTGAAACTGATCAAAAAGGGTTGTTCCTGTGGATTATGATCCTCTCATCCAGCTGCATGTGAAACGTTCATGATGTCAGCTGGGTTAAAGAAATGGCACCTAGAGCTGCTGACCGGAAAACACTGCTGAAGAAGAGGACTGTCAGCGGTCCGACATCGCATTTTTTCACTGTTTATGCCACAAAGATGCGAGGACAAACATTCAGGTTATTCCGTATCAACAAGATAAATTAAATGGAATTTAATTTTAGGTTATTGATTTAAGAATCTGCAGCAAACGACGATTTAATTAATTGTCTCACACCATTGTAAATATTGCAGATTACAACACTTGCTATCTAAACCTGCACTGTGTAGTTTAACATCTTTACACTGACAGAAAGGGGGTGTTTGGCTGGTTCGGACACTTAAGATGTGTCACAGGATGTGAAATGAGTTTGAGATTCCTGCTTTACACTAAGATACAGCCCGGCTTGTTCTGCTCTGAGGTCTAAGGTGCATTTAATGCACAGTTTTTGTAGTAAAACTGCAACCCTGACAAAGATCTAACAATTTTGTATATAATTCTAAAGAGTAAAATAATATTCAATGAAATGTGTGTTAATTATAGACACGTCTATTCTTGTGCTTTAATAAGGCCACTGTAATGTCACGGGGCAGCCATGGAGGCAGGAGGTCTGTCCCCAGTTAAAAACATCAGGTGTGGTTTTTATTTCTGACTTTTCTGATACTTAAACAGGAAAATATGTCAAATGTAACCAAAGCTGTTGATTTACTGATCGATCTACACTCCCACCATCATCCATGGTCTCATCTATGCCCCAAAAATTAGATTGTGGATAAGGCGTCTGGTCTCATTAGACTAAAGTGCCAAGTAGGTGCCTTCTAAGTGAGGAGCATGAGATAAGATCTTGGGGCACACTGGTGAGATTAGAACAAGGGCAGGGACAGGATGGGCTCCTCTGGTTAGCTTGGAGCAGCAGATGAATGGATGGATTTTTTTCCTGTGCTTGCTCTTGATTATCAAATCTGGTGGTACCTAAATGACAACAGATGGGTGTAAAAACTGTGCCTTGGGCCCTTTGACCTTCAGGCAAAAATGCCGGACTGCGATATCCAAATTGTGGTCAGTAGTCCCCCTGCTGGACTCTACAGGTACTGCAGTTGAGTCCAAGAGTTAAGTTAAAGCCACAGAATTTGAAATATGATATTTAAGTCATTTTTTTTATCTCACTTTTGGAAAGAAGTCAGTCGGAGTAGCTGTCAGGTGGTGGAAGCAACGTTTTACAGTAAAGGAGAAAATATCTGACTCTCACTAAGCGTTATCAGAGCTGAAGTTTGGGAATGGTTAGAAAGCAAACACAAGTGATCTGCTGTTTTAGACACATTTTTGCTGTGTGGCCTGTTAAGATCAGCTTTCATCATCAGGTTTTAAAATTTACCTTTAATTACGGTTATCAGATTTTTACTATTTAAAGTGGAGAGTGTGAACCTTAAGCTACAGTCTTTGTGTGATTTTTACGAGACGTGTCTACTTTAATCTCTCGTTTAATCTTCGCACTCACTTCTGCTCTGACTATGAGTCAGCTGGAATGACATGCTGTGGTCCAAGATTATTTTTTATATAAATAACAGGCTGTTGTTGACATTACAGTGATATATTTATCTGCTTGTAATAAAAAAGAAAACTGATTATAAACTGTTTGTGTAGACTGTCTTTTCTTTGCAGGAATGAAGCTGTATATGTGCAGTATTATCCTACAATGCTGCTGCGTTGTTGCTTAAACAGCAAATAAAGGTTTCATTTTTCATTAAAAACACAGAGTACTTCACAAATACACCATAGGTGAGGCAGAGATTTTAATTTGTCATATTTACCTGACTAAAACCGGAGCAAAAAAAGTCAAAATGTGGAACAATAATAGTTTAAACATGTTACCACTAGATAGCAGCATTCTCAAAATTGAACGAATGTGACATTTATTTGCATATATGCACACTTTATGACCATTTAAGTTAAAGTTAATATCAATAATGCTTCAAATTTGTTTGAACTACATACAGTTTTATTTGTATGTCAGGCAATGCTTCAATATAATTGCCCGAATAAGTGACCAGCGGTATTTCATGATGATTGTGAGACTTTTAATTCTATTTCATGAAACACATGAAGTTAAAAACTACAATAAATTTTAACATATTTTAAACTGTTTACTTTCAGTATTTGATATCATTGCATCCACATGAAAATAGACACATTACATGTTTTGTAACTAAAAACCTGTCAGGATTTATAAATTAATTACATTTATTATGTTTTTATTCATCTTTAATGTTGCCAGACCCAATGAAAGGTAAGCAATGCATTAAAAAAAAAAAAAAGACATGACTTCACTATAGTTTTAGCACATTGCTAAGACATCCAGATGGCCAAATTAGACCCTTTGGTGGGCCAGTTCTGACCCTCAACCCTGATGTTTGACACCCATGTTGCACAAGGAATTTAAAAGACCAGAGTAATGCGGTTTTCATCCAATTTTTCAAAGCAGTTTAACAAAAAAGCCAAAAAGAGCGACGGATCTTTTAAAAAATTAAAATGTCTCTTTACTTCAAGACGGGACGTGTTGTTAAAAAAGGATCCGAGTCGAACTGTCACACGGAATAATACCCATTTCAGGTTTTACCTACAAAACATTCACTGCGACGAGGATGGGATTCGAACCCACGCGTGCAGAGCACAATGGATTAGCAGTCCATCGCCTTAACCACTCGGCCACCTCGTCCGTGACCCCGCACGAAGATTACCGAGTCTGCACATCAGCGGGACCAGTGTGCGAACATGATACATATAGCAGCTAAAGCGTTTGACGCGATGTTTGCGTTTGTTTCTGCGCCACTCTAACAGTAAATACGGCTTTCACTGTAAAAACTCTGCAAAAAAAACCCCCAAAAAGTAAACGTAACAAAGTGGGCTGAGTTAAACTTATCTCAACTTAGCAACTACCAATAGGAGCGAAGGATAATCTTGATTGACATATGAGTGGGTGGCAGCCACTGTGTGGACTCGTCGATGTTCGACGAGCTGATCGGTTTAAATCTGTGTGTGTGTGTGTGGTTAAAGGCTTACCAAAGCTGTGAGGAAAAGGAGGCTGCAGCTGCGACTTATCGTCAAACACCAACAACGTGTAAACGAAACGTTCATGATTAACCGGAAGGCAACAGGCGGCACAGGCACTTGCAGTACAGCAGTCTGTCCAGCAGAGGGAGATAAAGACCACCAATTACAACTAAAGGGTCGCCAAATAAATGGCATCTAGTGCCTGCGTATCCCATATGTTGCGTCCTTAATTAATTATGTAAGGATATATATATATGCTTTGCTGCACGTGACTCCGCATGCTTTATGACCACAAACTCATGAGGTCATGCAGCTCTTGCATTAAGGTTATGTTTGCATGACACTGATGCTTTAAATCTTTACTTTTGTTAATAATTTAATTTCCTCAGGGTGTCTACTGCTGTCATGACCTGTACATGCACACCTGATATTTATTCATGTGGTGTCAATATGCCATCATGTGTTTGAACCCAGTTTATAGTATCCCATCTATATGTGGTACTGCAATCAGTCCAGATTGCAGGTTTAAGCAGCCAGATTTTCCAGTCTTGGCGAATCACAAGGCAGAAGACAGACAGAGGGGATCAAACATTTATTTACCCTTATTAAAAGTTACAGTAAAACCATTAACATCTTCAAACGATAGCAAAATAAAGAGAACCAAAAATATTGGCCAAAACATATTTACAGAGACAGTTTGCAGATAAAAAGCTCACATTTTTTTGTACACAATCCCAACCCCTGCGCCATAAATTCTGAAATGTGAACACTGCAACACTCAAGAAGCTCGAATGTGGTTTTAGCCAGAAAAAGAACCAAAATGCACGAACAAAGACATCTTTTTCCACCTCCCCTCCTTGATGTTCTCCTCCCTATACATGACAAAATACTTGAAATTTGGGGGTAAAACATAGGAATGTAGAATTCTAAAAATTAATAAGATGATCTGAAAGGTTTATGTGTCCATATATCAGTCATTTCGAGTGAAGGAGATGGTCTGCCCCGCTCTGCCGACGGTGACAATTTTTAGATCCCAAAAAAAGATGAGAAAGAAAAATAAGATGTTATAGGGCTGCCACGCTGTTTAAAAGGATGCTTCTCCATGAATTGGGAAAATAAGTCAGTATTCCTGATTCGCTCCACATCCAATCCATTACCTTCGCCGCACGCCAGTCCCTGTGTGTACCATGAGGGGGCGACGCCAGCCAACGCTTTCATCATGAGAGGGCCCGGTGAGTTTCCGTCTGTCGAAGAACTAATAAAAGGCAGTGAACTGGTGGTTGAATCAGCAAACGTGATATATCCTTTGTCTTCTTTTGTAGTTTTGTTTATAACTTTAAGAGCGTGGCACGAGTCTCTCATATATATTTTTATATACTTTAATCTTGGAAAATCAGTTCAGGTGCCGTGCTGGAGTGCAGTCACTCTGCCTTGGCCTCGCCCTCGGAGGCTGCGGGTGTCGTGTCCTCGGCGGGGGCCTCCTCGGCGGGTGCGGCCTCTGTCGGTGGGGCCTCCTCGGCGGCCTTGGCCTCTTCCTCGGGTGCAGGAGCGGCCTCTGCGGCCTCGCCCTCTTTGGCCTCGGTGGCCGGCGTCTCCTCTTTGGTTTCCTTGGCTGCGTGGCCGTTCTCCTCGGGCTTGTCCTCGGTCGTAGGGGAGGTGGCCTCCTCCTTGCCCTCCTCGCTGCCCTTCTTGTTCTTCTTCAGCGAGATGCCCTTGAACTTGAAGGAGTTCTTCAGGGAGAACTTCTTCTTCTTCTTGCCCTCCTTGGCAGCCTCGCCCTCCGCTTTGGCCGCCTCGCCCTCGGCCGCAGGAGCGGGCTCGATAGCGTCTCCGGTGCTGGTCTCGCCCTCCTTGGCTGGCTCCGCGGTTCCATTTCCATCCGCGGCCGCTGCTTCCCCGTCGGGTTTGGCTGAAACATCGCCGTTGGTTTTGACATGGCCGTTCTCCTGCAGAGAGAGAGAGTCATGGATTAAAACACTGGAGGTGGGTCAACGCAAACACACTGCCTGTGGAAACGAAGAATTATTTATGCATAATGAGATGAGCGCACTGTAAACACATTAACATTAGCCCATTTATGCCTACAGTTAATCCATGTTATTCTTCAGGAGAGCAGCTCTGATTGTGGTGGGAGGGGGGGATTTAACAGCTGTCTGTATTACCCTGAGCTGGCACACGGGGGCAGTAGTGCTACATCAAAAACATCAACACTACCAGCAAGTTGGGGAACAAAGGAATCCCCGTGAAACCTGCTCTGCGCTCTCATCCTACATCTACCAGCTCCACGCAGGAGCGCAGACAGCTCACATCAGCTTCAGCTCAGACAAAGCCACAACCAGTCCACGCACTCACCAACACCAGCAACAGGGGCGTTTTTACATGTCTCGAAGTGGGTCACAAGAGTTCATCTGGGCATCTCTGTAATAACGCGTATGCTGACCGGATCAGTCACACACGAGTAATCGAAACGCACAATTAACTTCTAACATATTTAAATTGTTCAAAGTTTACGCGGAAACCCACTCCACAGTGTGTGTGTGAGAGAGAGAGACTGTGTGTGGGTAACAGCCGGGGGGGAAATGGGGTCAGAACTGGCGCCTGCACGCGCTTTGTTTGCAACTCCGCAAAATGCGCCTCCAGCAGAGCGCATTTGCATCCTTTGCGCCGCTCGCCTCGCATCTTTTGTTCGACGCCCAGAGCGACTATCCGCCCAACTCATGACAGAAAACACGCTCAAAACTCACACGGGGACCCAAATCCGACACTCTCGGGTGAAATGTGCGCGTAAATCTCCCCAGTGGGACAGCAGACGGAATTAACAAAGGCAGGCGGGCAACTGCGCGCTGCTCGACGGCTGCCCAGCCGGAGGTCTCCCGATGCCCTCATTTTAGGCTAAATTCAGTTTTAAGTGTTTCCCCCCCACAGCTATGAACGAACCCTGACGCGAAGGAGCGACCGCCAGCCCCCCACCGCGGCACCCATGCCGCCAGTGGGCGTCGGGTGCCATGTGGCTCCCCGCTGACGCTCGGGCGCACCGGGCCCGCTTTACTCACCTGGCCGTTGGCTTTAGCAGCAGCAGGGTCGGCGGCGGCTTTGCCCTCAACAGCTACTCCACCCTTGGACAACTGGGCTCCCATTTTTGTCTTTCCTTTAGTTTTATGAACAAAAAATAAAATCGAAAAAGAAAACCCTCGAGTTTTTGAGATTTAAAAATCCAGCTCTGGGATAGGTGAGAGCTTTCCGCCTAAAAAACAGGTGAAAATCCGACAGGATCTCCTTCTCCCTTACAAAGGTTTGTCAACGAGAAGACCCCCCTTAAGCGTGTGTGAACCCCACGGAGGCTGAGCTCAAATTAAAGGATGTCAGGGAGACGGCTGTGAGTATTTCAACCGCGCCTCAAAATCGACCGGAGACCCCTCCCCTGGGCGTGGCGGCCGGGCTTTGTCCAATCTGCAGCGGGGGGATGGGCCTCCTTCTCCGGGCTGTCACTGCCACAGTCTGCCACTCAGCTGGAGCATCAGCAAGACTTTATTTTCCAGCTGCTTCAGATGTCTGGAAGATTGTGAACACATTTAAACTTTGTTCTCTTGTCAATTGTTTATAATTTGGCACAAATTGAAAAATTAATCCACCTGTTCTGGAAAACAAGACAAGTTTTAGAGGTTTGACCCGAACAGGTGAGCAGAAAAGTGAAGGTAAGAACAAGCAGTGGAAATATACTTCTAATAAAAGTCCTGAGTACGTGCAGAGCATCACTGCTGTACATGAAGGAGTTTAAAGAAGTGCAGCAAAGCATTTTATCTTTTATTTGAAATTAAAATCTAAATGTGAATGTGTCTCTTGTTTTGATTAAAAGTCTAATATACGACACCCATTGGATAGAAAATTATATTCTCCTCAAATAAATAATGTGTAAGACGTGATCAGTAAATCATAACCATTCAATAAACCGTGAGAAAAAATAGAGGTAGCATAAAAGTCAACACTAAAAGCATTTTTATCAGTGTTTGTGTGCCTGAAGATGAAAAATGAACATAAAATATGTCTTAAGACAAAACACATGAAAAACAGATTCAGCTTTAACAGTTAGATGAAAGAAGAAACGAGCAAATATATAAGCACGAACATGTAAACACTCTGTATATCAGTCATTTTATTCCATCACAAGCAAGTAAAACTGTTCCTTTTCATCTGTAGCGGTGATGAATCGTTACATTTGTAGCTAAAATGCAGATGTTTAAGCAAAGTCATGGCTAACAGTGGATGTTGTCAGTTAAGGATATAAAGATGGAGTTGAAGCAGTTGTGTTCACTAGCACAGCGGTCCTCAACCCCCGGGCCTCGGACCAGTAC